CAGCTCTGGGACGAGAGCGGAGGCGCGAGCGCCGCGGGACTGTCGCGGGGCCCGGGGTGATGGGCACAGCTGGGCACGCCCGGCGAGGCGCAGAGCACCGCCGTGAAATGGACGGGGACTCCCCCCCCAGAGGGAAGCTCGGGGACAGCGTGGAGCCACTGGTCACCCCCTGACCCCACTGGCCTCTCCCACAACTCCTTGCTCACCCCCTCCCGCCTCCTTGCTCCCCCCCGCCCGAAACGTCAGCCACGATGTTCCCTGCCTGGAAGACCCTTCCTCCAGCTTTGTCGCCGCCTTAGGCACCAGCCCCAAATCCTCCTTCTAAATTGGTCCTACCCTGACTCCCCTATTTAAAACTGCAACCCAGTCTCTTGTCTTGTTCCGTTTTCCCCCATTGCCCTTTCTGACTTACTGTGGTCTAGCGTATGTATTATGTTTATCTTCAGAGTCCCTCCCAGCGGCACTTCCCCCTTCCAGTTAAGCACCATTCATGATAGCTGGGCTCTGCCTGGTTTACCTGTTGATGTGTCACAAGCGCCTGTGCAGCGCCTGACACTTAGTAGGTGCTCACTGATACATGGAAACGAATGACCGATACAGCTACATGCAGGAATAAAAGCCCGTGCAGCTCCCTGTCCCTTGCCCAAGGCACAGAGCATTTTTGTGCCTATAACACACAGGCACACAGAGTGACTCCCAGGCTCACGCGCGCGCGCACACACACACACACACACACACACACACACACACACACGGCATGCGCTCTCAGGGCTTCTGAGCCCCCCAACCCTCTCTTAACCAGGAACTCCCCTTATCCCCACTACCCCAAGCAGGGACAAGAAGCCCTAGCAGCTGTCCTGGCCTAACTGCTTCATGCCCTTAGTGGGCCAGGGCAGGGAGGGACCTTGGAGCCTGCCCCTGTCCCCAAGCTCCTGCCAGATGTGGCCACCAGATATTACCATGGTGCTGGGCAGGTGTGGAGCTGCACAGCAAAGTGTCCGTGGGCCAGGACCTCCAGAGCCTTTTAAATTCTTTCCTATCCAGTTGGGTCCCTCTAAGGCGCCCGCCCCCAGCTTGGCCTCCTCCCACCCCTGTGTGGACCTGGAAGGTGGGAACAGAGAGAGGGTGGGGGTGGAAGCACACTGGCTGCCAGCTGTCCCGACAAGGGCACAGTCCCTGCTGGGACCCCAGAGGTGTGGGTGGCAGAGGTGGGGAGGCCTGGGGAATGGGTAACCTTTTGCTCCAAGTCTGCAGATCCTGGGAGGAGCTGTTTCGGGGGTGGAGAGGGGCTGTGCTGTCCCAGGGGCTGTGCTGAGGGACCAGAGCCCCTTCTCCCCCAGCTGGATCCAAGGCGTCTCCTCCCTACTCTGGCCCCAGGCCTGTTGTCATGGAGTGGGTGGTGCTGTGGTTTCTGCTTTCAGGACTGTAGGCTCCGCTGCACAGCCTGGAGATGTTCTCAGGCTCCTTGCCATTCTGCAGCCCCTGATGCGTGACCCGCGGAGCCTTCTAGGAGGTGGTGGATCTTGGCTGCTTGGATGAGGAGCTCAGGCCTCAGGCCGCCTCAAGCCAGAGTCTCAGCCACATGGTCAGTCAGGTCCCCTTTACCCACTCTACGTTGCTGCTTCTCTGGGGCCAGATTGAGGAATGTGGGTCCATTCCTCAGGCCTGCCTTGCTCCCAGAAAGGGCATGGTAGGAAGAACAGGGTAGGAATCCTGACGTCATCACCTTCTGGCTGTCGCTATGTGCTTTTTCTTTTTTTGAGTAGGGGTCTCACTCTTTGGTCCAGGCTGGAGTGCAGTAGCACCATCATGGCTCATTGCTACCTTGACTTTGTGGGCTCAGGCGAGCCTTCCACCTTAGCCTCCCGAGTAACTGAAACCACAGGCACATACCACCACGCCTGGATAATGTTTTGATTTTTTGTAGAGACGAGATCTTGCTATGTTGCCCAGGCTGGTCTCAAACTCCTGGGCTCAAGTGATCCTC